TCAATATTGTCCTCAGGTCAACGGTTTAGCCTCCAGAGGGCAAAAACTCCAAAAATAGCTGTTTGTACGAAAAGTGTTTTTCGACAATAACTTTCGACTACAAAAAGCCACGACATTTCTATTGCCAGAATCGTGTTCCCCTCACCGAGACGCGTCGAATGAACTATAATTTGACCTTGAAAGGTCAACTTGAAAATTTGACCTCAGGTCAAGGTCATGACCTGACCGGAAAAGGTCATGTTGCATATCAGTCGATGCGTCTCAACAAGACAAACACAATGAGACCATCCCCAGCGTTCTATCTCTTTTTAATCGCGAGTTATTGGCAAAAAACTGTTTGTAGCCTCAAATGACCTCGGATGACCTTTCTAGAGGCTATCAGCAAAAATGACACCTTGGTCATCACGAGTGGACTAAATCATTGTGATTCTGAAATATTTGGACTGTTCCTATGCGTACACACGGATCTAGAGGCATTTTCATTTTTCTCCATTGACTTGTATTGGAAAGGTCATGCCACTGACCTGACCTTAGGTCACGGATATAAAAAATCCGAGATATACAAATTGAAGGCTCCCATAACAGCATGCAATCCACCAAGTTTAAAACCTTTCTGACAAACACTGCAGGCTGGACATGATTGCAAACTTTTTTTAAGGCGTGGTCAGTTAACTTGACCTGGTGACCTGACCTGACATGACCTGGGGTCAAAAATTTCACACATTGTCTAAAATTGATGTACCAAAAGCTACCCCAAGCGGCGCGGCTCTACGCTCCGCGGTTTTTTATTCACACGCGAAAAACGCGACAGGGTGGTAACATATGCCCCCCCCCCCCACTGGGGCGAAGGTTAAAATACAAGGTGAGCTCCACTTTAAATATGAATTGTTCTAAAAATGGTCCACTTGTTCACCAGGCACCTCAGCTCTTACATTGACAACGACGAAGGCATTCCAGTAAAATATTCAAGAAGCAAGGGCAAACACTTAGACGCGATGCAGAGTTCGCTGTTTCAAACGTGGAATACCTAGCCACTCCATATGCTGTTCATGTAACCCTGCTTTATCAGTTGAGTTTGTACCGAGTGACCGTGTGTTATACATAAATTAGCTCGGTCAGCTAAGTGCCAACCGCCAGGGCTACTAAAGATAACTCGATGTTGATGTACTGTTGGTGCCACTAACTTGCCGCGACCCGTCCACAGCACAGACCGCCGCGGTCCGACCATCCCCGTGGACCCGTCCGTGACACGTACACGGCGCCCGGGACATTCGGGTCACTGTTACGGCCGATATATTGGCCACGAATAGCAGCCCGTCGCACTCCATATAATTACTGGTGGCGGCGGCGGACAGGACGTATAGGCAGCCGCAATGAAAACCGAGTAGACCTCATCTAGAGCTATAACCTATAAGCGGTATACCGTATAGTATATCCTCGTACCTACCTACTTGCACAGGTATAACATCCAATATGTATGTATTTATTGACAAATAAACAAAATGTTCATTTGATGTTTGCACTGTGAATGCAGGTGCTGCTGTCTCCCATTATCAGAGGCGCTTCATAAGAGCGTCATCGAGTGCAGAGCTGCCTGCTCCCGTCGATCCGACAGCCGCCTCAGTTCTGGAGAGCACAGCGCGGGGACCGGGGGACTGGATAGGGGGAGGGGGCAGAGCTCCGATCCCGGGCCGCCTCCAGAGCAGCCGCCGCCGCCGCCGAGTCGATACATTTTCCGGACGACTTTTCCGATGGTTGCAATTTAGTGCAATCATTTTCTCTTGTTATTCCGTGGACAATGCGGCGTAATGATTGCAGGAGGCTGTCGCCATGGCAACGCAGTTCTGGCCAAAGAAGACATCAATATGGCGTCGGGCGGCGCGCGCGTGACCGGGGACCTCGAGAGCGGAGCACAAAGGGCGCAAATTGCCAGACGCGAAAGTTGGCACTTTTTGGGTAGCGCCGCGTCACCAACGTGTCGTGTCCTGTGAGCGGGAAAATCAGGCGGCGCGTCGGCGGCTCGGCCGCGCTGACACCCCGCCGCAGAGAGCCCCGGTCAGCAGACGCGGCGGCCGGCGCAGCCAATCAGCGCCGCCGTCTGCGTGTCGTCACCGGCCGGCCGTCTGCCAATCATCTGGCTCTGACGGCCGGGCCGGCCGATCTGTGGGAGCCGCCACTGTCACCAGACGGGGGCACGGGCATAATACACAACTGTCACCAGCCAGTACACTACACAACTGTCACCAGCCAGTACACAGTTCTGTCACCAGACGGGGCCACGGGCATAATACACAGCTGTCACCTGACGGACAGCAGACAACTGTCACCACACACACAGTTGTCATCAGACGGACAGCACACAACTGTCACCAGACAGTACACTACACAACTGTCACCAGCCAGTACACAGTTCTGTCACCAGACGGGGCCACGGGCATAATACACAGCTGTCACCTGACGGACAGCAGACAACTGTCACCACACACACAGCTGTCATCAGACGGACAGCACACAACTGTCACCAGACAGTACACTACACAACTGTCACCTGATGGACAGCAGACAACTGTCACCAAACGGACAGCAGACAACTGTCACCACACACACAGTTGTCATCAGACGGACAGCACACAACTGTCACCAGACAGTACACTACACAACTGTCACCAGCCCTTACAACACAACTGTCAATAGACGGACAACTGTCAATAAACGTCTGTCACAACTGTCAAGTGTCAATAGACACACAGTACCTACTACCTACATACATAGCTGTCAGACAATGCATAACTGCAAGGACAGAAAGTAGAAAATAACTGCCATCAGACACACAGCACGCATTACAAAACCCACACTGTCACGAGACAGAGGCAGGTAATACATTTTTAATACCATAAAGATCGGTTGTCAAAGTAAGTGTGCCTTAGTTAATATGAGCTTGCTTTGAGCTATATAGCCATTCCCTATTTTCAAGCTCGTCATTCTAATTGATGCACCTCCGGTATATATTGATGGAGCTCTATTTGTAATAGTTTGTACCTAACGTGCAGAAATGGATTGTTTCTTGTAGGTATTCTCACTGTCATAAATGCGAATTACGTGTAGGTAAGCGATATTGCAAAATAGATAAATAATTATACAAGTCAATAGTAAAAATAAAATCACTATGAATGATGTCGGCGATTGGAGAAAGACGTAGAGGAAAGCGGGGCCAGGCCAGTTGAACCACTTTTTATATATTGCCATGCACAGCGAGATCTACATAGTTGTCATATCAAAAAATGCACAATACCATGAAAAATATACCTACTCTTTTGGCTTTATTTTAAGATATATGAAATCATGTTTCAAACATATTTTGCCGCCAAACGCGTGCTTATAAGACAGCTCCACGCCCGTTTCAAATGACCCCGATGCAGGGTCAATTGAACCAGCCCATGTGGGGTCAATTGCACCTATTAGTTGTCAAGCTCACCTGTATGGAGAATGGGGATTAAAGTAACGATTTCAGTCGCACCCTGCTGTCCCACGTCTCTCCACGGGCGGTGTGTTGAACTGGGGTGGATGAACGCCTCCGGCTTAATCAACTCGGTACAAGGGGTACCGTGCACCGTGCGGCGCTTGTGTCTCTGTGCTATCGCGTACTGTGCAACTCTGGAGTCCTCAAACTGTTGTCTACCGAGCAGCGCTGGAGTGCCTAAATTACGGTGTACCGCTCAGCTCCAGAATCCCTAAATAGCCGTGCACCGTCCTGCTCTGGAGTACCTAAATTACCGTGTACCGTTCAGCGCTAGAGTCCATACATTACCATCTATGACACAGCTCTGGAGTCTCTACATCAGGCACCGTGTGTTTCGTGCAGATCCAGAGTCCGCACTCTGCAGCTTTGAAGCTTCGGCCCGGGTTATCGTATAAGTACGACGCAGCTCGCTGGACCACGGTCAGGGCCGACCACCGGCCGGCACCCCACTATCGCCCCATGGACAGCTCCTCCCCCTGCCGTCAGGTGCCAATAAAAGGCCACCGCGTATTGCATCGGCGTCGAACTGCCAGTGCGACGGCCGGGTCCTCAGTAAAATGAAACACCCTCGAGCTATAACGCCGGCGGCAGCAGGGCCGTGACACAGTCAGAGCCGTGCGATGGGACATTTGTACGCGGCCGCGGGGCCATCAGAACAGTGCATTGAGTAATTGACATCGATTTAATCCCCCGGAGTGTCTTGGAAGAAATGAAAGGGCGTTGTAGCTTGAAGGGTTTTTGATACGGTCATAAAGAATAATGTTAGCGTCATGACGTTAAAGTGCAAGTAACAAAAAATATAACATTCGCTCGCAAGATTAGAATGTCGCACCAAAAAGGAAAGAGAAGAATCGAAGTCGTGACCATGCTCCAGCCATCGACCATGTTTTTATCGTGCATATCTACCTATGCATGGTTGTCAAACAACTCATGCGGCTTACGGTTACTAGTTCGTTGTCTTGTGAATGAAACGACTTTCAACTCGCTATCGCGTGCGATTCTGGTTTCCGGTGATCGTTAAGCTTCTGGAAACGATGGGCTTTTCGACTGTACGCTAGCGTTACTGCTATAAAAACCAGAGCTGCTGCATATGCCATTATTAGGTGTAATTTTTTTGTTTCTAGTAGCTGCGTCTTCCTCTAAGGCGTTTTTTTAATCTCAGATATCTAACTAAAGAGATGTAGAATAAACATGAACAGTTTAAATGTGTTTGAGCAATAACACGCCGAATGATTCTGCTGTGTCCACTCCCCGTCGCTTATTGGCACGATTTGTCACCGCCGACCTGTACTTCAAAACCTTTATGTGCCTTGTAACTAGCCTGAGCTTTCTTCATAGTGTGATGGCGAGTATCGTCCCCATGGGGACGATACTCGCGATACTCGCATAGAATGCATTCTATTCCCATCCGATCGCTCCAGTCCTCGCGTCCGGCACGTGAGCTCGGTCCCCGTTTGTGGCCACTGCCATAAAGAGTTGGTTCGCTCCTCCCTATATTCATATACTGGTACATCCTACATGGTAGAGCAGAACATTCAGGATCACGGCGGCCAGGTCGGTCACATCAGATTACAACCCTGTACTCACATTGGGCAGGTATAATGGTATGTACAGGCTACACGCACCACCAAACATCGCACACGCATGTCGCGGCCGCCGCCACGGATGAATCTATGTACAGTGGCTCACTGCGGGAGAGACAACCTCCCCCTCTGACTCTGGCAACATGAAATCAACGTCAACACTCACACACATACACGCACCCACTCTCTCGGACCGGCTGGCGGCGGGGCGCGAGTCTGGGAGGGGTCGGGCCGGGCCGGCCGCCCCGCCGCCGGCTCCTGCTGGTACATTTAACACAGATACGGCGGGCCGACGGCGCGGCGGGGCGGCCGCGGCAGGCGCGCGCCGATGGACCGGACGGGACAGGCAGCGGCCGACGCGGCAGCGCGGCTCCACAGGCGGCCGTCGGCGCGCCTATTTACATTTGTACCAGATATGTCGCGCGCGCGCACACGGCCGGTGCCTACTCTGCGGCGAGCGAGCCGGCCACGGAGATCAGTCCGGGACGACAGGGGCGCCCCAGACGGCCGGCTCGGCAGTCCCGGACCCGCACACCTCCACACCGCCGCCCCGCCGCGCCGGCGGCACAGGCAACAACGCAACACTGCAACACGGACGGTCGCGCCGCCGATAAAAACTGTCCGGCGGGCGCACGTTTGACACTGCGCCAGCGCCGGAGTCGCCGGGACGGACGGCCGCGTGTCCGTCATTGACGACTGGAGGTCACGGCGCCGGCCGACCGCTAACATTGCACTGCCCCCGGGGCGCGGTGGGCGCCGGGCCGGCGGGCGCGCGCTCGGACGGGACGGATGGACGGAGCCGCTGCGGCGGCGGCGGCGGCGCGCTCTAGGTGAGCAGGCCGTGGTTCATGGCCGACGGGTCGGACGGGTACCACGAGTACTGCGACATGAACGGCGCGTTCATGTTCATCTGACTGGCCTGCGACGCCATAGGCATCATGCCGGGCTGGCTGAGCGGCGGCTTGATGTCCCACTGGGGCGCCGGTGGGGACGCCCCGGACATGACGTGCTGCGGTGGCGGCGGCGGCAGCGGCTGCTGGCTCTGCGGCGGCGGTGGCGGGCCCTGCTGTGGGGGCGGCTGCTGGTGCTGCTGCTGCTGAGGGGGCGGCGGCTGCTGCTGCTGGTGCTGCGATGGCGAGAGGTCGCGCTGAGTCGGCGGCGGCGCCAGCGGCAGGTGCTGCGAGCTGGGCGGCAGCACGCCGGAGCCGCTGACGGGCGGGATGTACGTGTTGCCCTGGGTGATACCCAGCGGCGACTGGGATGAGGGCGGCGGCGAGCCGTCCGGCAGGCCCGGTGTGCCCGACGGATTCGGCTGCGACAGCGGCGACTCATCTAGCGGCGACTGCGGCGGCACCTGGCCGTTCTGGTGCGCCTTCATGATCTTCTTGTATTTACTCCTCCGGTTCTGGAACCAGATCTTCACCTGCGAATGACAAAAGAGAGGAGATCAGTCAACATTTCGGTAGGCATGGTCGTCATGACTTGTGCATAACAATTGCAGTGCACTAAGGCGCTAGATTGATGTCACTACTTACGAGATTTCGTCAACTGCAATTACTTTCAGGAAATATGACAATCAGCTTTAAGCTTTCTGCTCACGAATATGCAATTGCAACGGTGTATTTGATGCGCCAAGGATGACTACAGCAAGAACAACATTCGCCACTCATTATGCTTGCTTATCAGAAAATGCGGGACTGTCATCACCATTTAAATCAGCTCCGTGTTCTCAGGAGTGGCCATTAGGGTCGGCCGAGCACCCGGAGCTGCTGGCGGCTGCAGCTCTCCGTGCCGCCGAGTCGTATAAGGCCGGCTCTGTCAGCGGCGGCGCCCTAACGCCGCCGCAAACCGCCGCCGCAGATCACCGCGCCGCTCGGCATTCCCGAGCCGTTTTCAATTCCAATTTTCATCAGGCGGCTTCCGGGGGCGGCGACCAGTGCGGTGCCGTGAATCAGCTGCCGTCTGTCGGACGGCCGAGCTCCCAGCAGCGGCGCCGCCCGCCGTCCCCGCCCGCCGCCGCCGCTCGCGTGCGCCGCCATCGGCGCTGCGCATGCGTGGTGGCCGGCGAACAAAGAGCGGCCGCGGCGCGGGAGGAGTCGGCTTTGATCGCCCGCCGTCGCCGGGAAATTCCGCCGCCGGCCCGGGCCCGCCGACCGACCGGCGAATCAATGCAGGTCGGCCTGCAGGGCGCGCCGCCGCCGCCGTCGGCTTGGACGTCCGCCGGACCGCCCCGTCCCCCACGACCTGGCCGGGCAGCGCCGGTCGGCCTAATCGCTCCGTTCCCAGCACCGTGACGAGCCCGGCCCCGGCGGCCGAGCCGACAGCCGAAGGACAGAGGTTCTGCCACGCCGCTCCGCTCCGCTCACAGGGACATGAGCGCCGCTCGATGGCCCGTGGCGCTGCCCCCGGCCTGTGAGTGCCCCGGGCGCTGCTCAGGGGCCCGGGGGCGGCGGCGCGCAAAAAGGCGGCTGTTTTTGCGGGCGGGTTGTGGCCGCCGGCGGTGGTGGCGGCGGCGCGGCGCCGTGGAGTCGCGCGCTGCCACCCTATTGACACGGCGGCCGGCGCGATGGGAGCCAATTGGCGGCGGGACGGCGCGCTGCCACCGACGCACCCGCCGCCGCCGCCGCCGCGGCGTTTCGTGACCCACATTACTTTGCCGCGTCGTTCTCCCAGGCTCGGCGTTTGAAGGTTGCGTTGCGAAAGAGGCGGCCGGCTGGTTCAGCTCGACTGAGCCGTGTCGGCTGACGCCATCAGCTGAATCAGACGAGGGACGGTAGCGGCCCGCACGAATCACTGGTACTGACATGCTCGAAGTGTTGTTCGTTTTCACTCTGCTCGTTCGCTCGGCGTCCTTATTGCCTGAGTCGTGTAAGCCTCTAGGATGAGTTGACCGGCTACACCCAAACGGTTCACCAGGATATGCCTGGGGCTCCGACGAACCGCGGCGCATCCTCGGTACTGGCTGCACGCCACCCGGGTGATCCGTGATCCGTGGTCCATGGTCCGCGGTCCGTGATCCTCTCTTCGGTCTCTCCCGGACCACAGGCAGCTATCGTGGCCTAACGAACGACGATACGACTGGGCATGTGGTCGACGAGAGCCTGCCGTAACGCCCGGTCGGGAGCGGCGGGGACAGGGGCAGCACGACGGCCCGCCACCGCAGCACCCCCTCCCCCACTCCCTCGCAGCCCGGGCCGTTTTTACCCGTTCACATCACGCGTGTTTGACAGCGAGTTTGGATAGATCCGAGAGAAGCACGCAACGCTTTTTCCGACATCACGCCAGGAAGTGATACCAAGAATTCGAATTTGCTGTGGCGGCAGCTGGTGTTCGGGTGGGCCCGGTGTCTCGGGGCGCTATGTGGTACATCGGGGCGCCCGGCGGCACATCGGGGCGCCCGGCGTCCGGAGTGTCCACCCGGACAGCTCAGCACGGCACCTGCGCCCCGCGACACGATAACTCGACTTTTACTCGGTAATTAGTTACAATGTTCGCTGAAAGTTTGAATGACCACTGCCTTTGTGCGCTTTGCTGGGGAATACCTCTGAATATTTTAAACGAGTAATAACGGGCGTGTTTTGTTCAACTGCAACATGATTTCATCTGATCAATCTTGTTTAATGCACCAGGTGGAAGCCTTGGCGATAAAGACTATATAGGGAGTAACCTCCAGGCGCTGCACGAATACGTGTCTTAATGCTGAAAATATCCGTGAGCTCAGTGGCTCCTCCCTGTTCGCGGAAGGTGCCATATTGGCTGGGCAGCGCCATAACCTTCATGCACGGCCTTTGAACAATCGTGTTCGCGGCGGAACCAGTCCGGGCTTTTGCATGTTTCAGTAAGCGAGTTTTCCCCGGGCACGGTTCGGTGCGCGCTATGGGCCGGCTCGTTCCGGCGGCCGGCGCTGGCGCCCGTAACTCACATGAAATGGCCGAGTACCTGTTCGCCCCAGTAAACACGGCCGGCCGCGTCCCTCGGTGACGCACCCTCCGCCCCTCCCCGTCCCCCCGGCCCGAGGCCAGGCCGTGGGCCACCGTGCGCGGCCGGCCGGATTAATCGGGCCTCTCCGGGAGCGCCGGTCGGCCGGGCGGCCGTTTGCCGCCTTATTAGGAATGTTGCACGATCACCGGGCTGCCGGGCGGCGGCGATCGTTCGGCGCGGCCCTATCAGCCGACAAAGTGCCGACATCATCAGCGCGGCCGCCGATCGGCGCGGTAGCGCGGAGCGCAGCAGGAGTAGCCGTGCGCCCGGCGCCGCGCTAATGGCCTACCGGGGCAGCGCGGCGGCGGTGGCCGGCGGCGGCGGCCGAGCAGTGGCAGCGGCACAGCGCCGTGCAGAGCGGCGTCAGCAGCAACGCTAATGGCACTGCTATCAGCAACATCAGCACTCTCAGCACCTCCAGCGGCGCCATGGGAGCCGCCGCCACCGGATCAGCGGCGCGCTGACGGCGAGCGGCGGCGGTCAGCAGTGGGCTGGGACAGCCAGGGGGAGTATATGGGACTGACCGGCAGACCCTGCCGGCTGGTGACGGCCCTCCAGCAGGTCAGCGGGGCCGAGCTGGTCGGGTGTGACAGCGGCGGCGGGATGACGGCGGTGGAGGGGCGCGGTGCCGACCGGACGCGGAGCGGCGGAAGGAGGCGTCACCGCTCCATAATGTCCTGTCTGTGCGGGGACGGCCGCCGCCACGCACCTGCTCGGCCCACCTGCGTAACGCGCCGCGCCGCGCCGCATCGCGACGGCGCGCGGTTGCCGCGTCACAGGGCCGTCAATTACCCCCGGCCGCGGCCTCGGGCTGTCCCCGGTCCGGTCCCGGCCCCGGCCCCTGTCCCCGGCCCCGGCCCCGGCCCCGGCCCCCGGCCCCGGCCGAGCCACCGCAGCGCTGGCGGTGGCTCCCACTAGCTCCGTGTGAAGAGGCGCCCTGCGCGTGGCACCAGCGCGCCACGCCACCACTCCGGATGAATATTAAAGTATTGGTCATCAATACCGCTGACAGATAATAAATGAATGGACCGTTGGGTAATTACCGAGCATTAATTAATACTTGATGAAGACAACTACTGGGTTTTATCCTTAGGGTGTCGAAGGGATGAATTAATGAACACAGGCCCCTGGGTGGCTGCAGGCCCGATTGCGGTCAGACTTTGTGTGGGGTCCGAGTGGTCAGGCTATCCTCTGGGCGACAGGAGCACGCAGAAGCCAAGGTGCGTCATAATACCCCTGCACACAATCGTCAAAGCGCCATCCACACATCGCTTCCCGCCATCCACAGCTCCCCGACGCCACTGGTCTCACTCGGCGTGTGTCTGACAGTCACGGAAACCCCGCCGTCGCCGCCGCCGCCGCTGCGTAGCGACACGTAGCAGCGGCCGTGCTGTGAGCCACGCCTATGCGCCGCACCAGCACGTTCGAGAACGCCAGTGTTCCGGCACGGGGTGACGCACAGCGGCGGGGCTACCACGGTGGACTGGCCACTGTGAGCTGGCCACGGTGGACAAACGTCGGTCGGGGTGGACAAGCCTGGTGGACGGGCGACGCCACAGTGGACGGACGCCCGCCGGGGTGGACAGGCGATGGCGGTAGCATCAGAGCGTTGATGGCGGCAGCCTGGCATCCACTGTGGTCGACTGTAGCGATCCATCCGATTATCGAACCAGCGGCGCGAGACACGGCCGCCGCCGGCCGGCGCCACCGGTGTGTTAAACGTATTGCAACCAATTAGGCGCTATCGCACACGATCGTACATCCCATAGCTACCGGATTTAAAAGCCGAACCATCCAGTCATCCCGGTGGATAAAAGCGCTGATCGACTGGAGCGATAGGATCACGGTGGTGACGGGCAGGACTGTACTCGAGTGGCTGTGGGAATGGTCGGCCGTATGGTAGTTACGGGTGACTGTGGTCCGTCCGTGACGGCTGTATGGTCCGTGACCCGTGCCGTGAGGGCTGTATGGCCCGTGACTCGTGTGGTGACGGCTGTCGTGCTGGCCGCTGCCGGGTGGCGGGTGAGGGCTGTCTGGGTGCCGGGTGGCGGGTGAGGGCTGTCTGGGTGCCAGGTGGCGGGTGAGGGCTGTCTGGGTGCCGAGTGGCGGGTGAGGGCTGTCTGGGAGCCGGGTGGCGGGTGAGGGCTGTCTGGGTGCCGGGCGGCGGGTGAGGGCTGTCTGGGTGCCGGGTGGCGGTGGGTGAGGGCTGCTGGGTGCCGGGTGGCGGTGGGTGAGGGCTGTCTGGGTGCCGGGTGGCGGTGGGTGAGGGCTGTCTGGGTGCCGGGTGGCGGGTGAGGGCTGTCTGGGTGCCGGGTGGCGGTGGGTGAGGGCTGCTGGGTGCCGGGTGGCGGTGGGTGAGGGCTGTCTGGGTGCCGGGTGGCGGTGGGTGAGGGCTGTCTGGGTGCCGGGTGGCGGGGAGCTGGCGCGTGCTACCGCCGGACG